TATATATATATATACATACGATACTGTTTAATAAAATCGAAGATATCATAACAGAAATAATATTGAACTCTTTAATAAATAATATAATATGATTTCTCTCATAAAATATTAAAATATAATAGAAAATAACAAATATGAAAAATGCGATATGGAAAAGTAATAAATTTTTTGTGCAGTTAATTTTTTGTGATCTTTTTCTTTTCTCGTAATCTTAATTGTATATTACGATAAGAGAATTATGCTTTAAAGATACTTTAATTTTTTTTTTTTATTGTATTTTGATTTCACGAAACACAGTAGCTCTTGGAAAGAACGTAATCATGTTATGATAGTAAATTATTTAAAATAATACATTCAATAAAATTAACGGGGTTTATGCCATTATGGGCTACTACGTCTGGACGACCGCATTGCCGATCCTTATTGACGCGTCGCACGCGTGATTATAAAAACGCGTGATAAATATGTTAATTGAATAGTGCGAACCGTTACACAGTTAGCCCACAAGACGTTACTTGTGCGTCGTCGAATAGCACCGTTCGACCGCGTGTTTGGAATGAAATGCCATTCTTGAGCCAAACATTCATTTTATCGCGCCAAATTAGGCGAATGACGCGAGCGTACAATTTTTTTTATCTCTTAAAGTCTATATATATTTTAACAAAAATCTTGTACATAATTACATATATATAATTTTGATATTAACTTCCACTTGCACACATATACAAGCATGATAGGGGATTTCTTAAGAATCCATAGGGGTATAACATGACTTATGTAGCCTTGAAATTAACTATTAATATAAAATTACATAAGACATACCTATCCAGATATCGATGATGTAATAGACGAAGAAGATGCCCTTCTTAAGGATACCACGTTTCCGATGGGCACCGTAGCTACGTATTTCTGTGAACGAGGATTCGAGCTCTTGGGCCCAGCAAGAAGAGAATGCCAAGCCGATGGAATGTGGACGCCGGAGGGTGTACCTTTCTGCGGTGAGTACACACATTTTGATGCCCGTAATTATTTCAAATATAAACTTATATTTCTTCGATCAAATTATATATAATTTATTTATTTATTTGATATTTCATTAAGCATAATATCAAAATGCGGTAGTTATAATGAATAAACTGTATCGAAATAAGAAGTATGAGAGGAGAAGACTTAAAAAAAGAATGTTCTACTTGAAAATAATTTAAAAAATATCTGATTAAAAATATTTAATTGAAAAATAGAAAACCGGTAAAGTTATCAAAAATAGAAATGTCAAATTAATATTTTATCTACAGCATGCATGATGTTATAGATTGTAGACAGCGATGATAATTTAGCGAGATAACTGTACATGATATGATATAATGGAATAATGACGTAATAGGAATACTTGACCGCAAGTATTATTAATCCTCTATACTAAAGGATATTCAACTCTAAAGTCTCCTTTCATCTATGGATTCTTTAATCAATTTTGAATTAATATCTTCGGTGGAGATTTTTAACATCACATATATTATTTTATATATATAATCTTCGAATTACAAATCTACTAAAATAAATTAAAATCGGAATTTGAATAAAATTTAATTTTTAAACAGTTTTTTATTTTTAATCGCATATAATTCAATAACGGTTAGTTCTTCGACGTTTCCGTAAAGAAAAAATCGATTTCATACACAAATTGAACAGAAAATTCCTAAATAAAACATGACTTGCTAAAGTGTTTGGGATACTCTGTAAATAGGAAAGGATCTCTTGTAATTATACATATATGTTGCCTGCGGAATTGTTCGATTTTCTATGTATAATTACATTTAACGCGAACGGCCGATAGAGATCGATGACATATGGATTTATATCCACGATGTTTCGGGGAGGCAAGTGACCTGCTTCCATGTGTCCTTGACCGAGCAGGCCCAGCAATGCTGGTACAAGAAATGCCATGCCGAAGCGCGTCGGTGGGGGCAGTGCACCGTTAACTCTGAACCTGTTACCGGCTTATAAAAGCGCCCGCGGCCTTCCCAATCTCACGCGCATTCCTCGTACAGGCTCTCCAGACTCCTGCTTGTCCTTGGGATTGCATCGGACGAATTTACCCCGTTTTTTGTACGATCAATTCCGGAAATACCTTCATCTTTACACACGATATATGATGCCACTTCTATTATCGTTATCTACCGCTTATTTCAACTGTAAATTCCTCTTTATTTTTTTTTATCATAGATTAAATTAGAAAAAATATGTGATTTATTTTACGCGAGATGGAATGTTATTTTTTTTTTGCGCGACGTCAGTGAAATTCATCGACTACAAGATAGTTACTGCGCTCATAGCGAACCATTCACAAACACAGTACCTCATGTGTGTTTTTCTATATATGTACGTGTGTATGTTAAGATCTGTGCTTTTCTCACTGGCGAGATATCCGAGCAATAATGAATGCCTCGTATTCAATACATGCTATGTATATATACTATGTACAGGTATTATTTATCACGGTATAACATGACTTATGTAGCCTTGAAATTAACTATTAATATAAAATTACATAAGACAGATTAGATTTATATACAATAAAAACTATATAATTTTGCTGAGTTCGAATTTTGAGGCGATAAACATAAAAATAATCTTTATGTTTATACGCGATAATTGGTTCATATCTGTATTAATGTCATCGCAAATCAAACTGTCTCGCTACTTCTAATTTTTGAACTTTATATCGATAAATCGAGCAATTAGAATTTTGGCTGTTTCATAAACAATAATAACATATATCAACATTCGACGATAGCACAAACAAGTTGCATATATCTTACATCCAAAGTCAACGACCCTTGCATTCGCGCTGCAACGTCCGCTTTTGCCAAGTGCATGCGTGTAGTTACAATGCGTTTCTACAATTCCGTTGCATTCGATGCATCCATCTTTTGCCGCTGCTAGACCGATGCAAGGCGAGATGCTAGACGATTTCACTGATTTCAGGACGCGCCTGTGTATATCCGATGAGAAACGCTCGAGATTTGCGTTTTGCACGCGATTCATGTGCGCGGTTCTTACGCAATGTGTAAATTGTCTCACAAGCATTCGATTATGCTTTACATAATCGAAAATGCAAAATATGTAAAAGAAAAAAGCAGGAAAAAAGAAGAGAGAGGGGAGAAAAATCTTTTTATATATTATAATTAAAGATTTATAGAAATTTATCACACTTATGAGACATGTATTATATAATATTCATACGAGGTATTAAATTTTCATAATATTTCCAAATTGTTTTGATAAACTATACATATATTGAAATCTTTACCGATGAGAAATCAAAGATTTATATATATTATAAATTTTAAATTTCTCGTAGATAAACAAACTTATATATTTCTGCTTCTTTTACAAATCTAACGATTTTAATGAAAGTTAAGGAAAAAATGTCTGTGAATATTACTCGCAAAAATCGAAAAAATACTCGCACGTTTTTATTAAAATTTATTAAAGAAAGCTTTCTCGCACGATTACATATAATATGCGCTAGATTCTTTTCAACCAGGGAAAAAGCTTTTTTTGGGATGAAAGAAGAACGAACGATGACATGCCATTACGCAATAATGGCGAGTGAAATTCGTTATTGTCAGTTAGTTAAAGTTACTTCCTCTTTTCGGATTGGCACATATCATGCCGGCCGCGAGCAATACACACGACTGCATAGCCGATGACTTCCTAGACGATTGCGCGACCGCCGCAGGATGTGAGCAGCTTGCGTTATCGCTTCCGTTACGTATCTTACCGGCGTTTTACATCCCTCGCTTTCTCGCGACTAGCTCGGTACTTTGCTCTGTTCGAAATCGCTGACAGCCGCATGTGCATGTAAATGACAGGGTGGTGATAATGATGGGTTATTATCGAAACGCGTGTATGTTTCTGCGTTTATTTCTGTTCAGTGAAACGTGACGAGACGGAAGGGTATAATATAATCAGGGCTAGCATGTGTATGTATATATGGAAGGGCGTTTCTGCATTTTCAGATATAAGATTGGACGCTTCTATTATATTCATTATACGCAGAAAACCCGATTGCTATAGAAATACAGCGTTGTAAAATTCCTGAAATTTTCGGAATTGATTTCTATTATTAATAATGAAAAATTCATTTAATATAGTTTCTGAACTATAAAATCTCAAGAATAAAGGATTCTTTGCAATTTAAATTTTAGGAGTGAAAATAATATAATGTATGATCTGTCAATCTTTTTTATGATATTTAGAATTAAACTAAAAAGCTGATGAATCATCTTCCTAGACATTAAACGAGTTTATTATACAGCGTTCCGCGTGTCTATAAACTTATCTTACTTTGCAACACCTTTCGTAATCGCTGGCAACGGATATGTACTTTGACCAAACCTACGTTTTTCATTCGCGTCGCAGGAAAAAGCGAAGCAACGAAGTATTCACAACTGGTTTCCTGTGTTCACTTTCGTTGTGCAAGGGACGATATCAGTTATATAAGGAAGATCCTGTTTCGTATCTAGAATAATGTAAAACATATTGTTACATTGCCTCGGTGATTTGAGCATTTTGCTCGAGAAGGCGACGAGACTCGCCGCCCATTGAAATCATCAGCTTGAAAACGGCAGCGGCAATCCGATGAGGCAACGTACATCCGCTTTGCATCGTACGTGGTTGATGCGCTCGGTGCGTGATGATATGAGATTGCGTGTCTTCGATATGGAGAAGAGGTTGAAAAGAGCATGCTCGCCTAGCGTGTGCGATGCACTCACGATGAACGGCCAGAAAACTTGTTGCATTACATCGCGCAATTAGTCATGAGAGATTGAACCGTGCAGATAATCGAGAGTGTAATCTTTTTGAGGAGCTTAACAGCTTTCGCGAGAATTTGCGCACGTATTTGAGGCAATTTCATATCGTGAAATTAGACGTGCGTGATTCAATACGATCGTTGAGAAAAACGCATTCAAATCATTGTTACGAAAGTATGCGTGATTATGGCAAAATGAGATTAAACCAATATTTTTTTTTTCGTCTTTTCAATTCTGAGAAATATTTAATAAAACTTTGAAAATATATCTTTAGTTATATTATATTATATTATTTTTCATATACGCGAATATGTGGGCGGGTTGACTGGAATTAGAAAGAGAAACAAGAGCGATCTGTTTAATTAGTATGTCATTCAAAATAACTATTGTCGCTGTATGAGGGTAAAAGTGATCTTCCAGCACTTAGGAACTAGGAACTTAGGAACTTATTTAATGCACGAAATATATATTTACCCAAGTGAATATATTTACGTATAAAATGAAAATATGATATACCTATAATATATAAAATATGATATATAGAAATACCTTCATCTTTACACACGATATATGATGCCACTTCTATTATCGTTATCTACCGCTTATTTCAACTGTAAATTCCTCTTTATTTTTTTTTATCATAGATTAAATTAGAAAAAATATGTGATTTATTTTACGCGAGATGGAATGTTAATTTTTTTTTGCGCGACGTCAGTGAAATTCATCGACTACAAGATAGTTACTGCGCTCATAGCGAACCATTCACAAACACAGTACCTCATGTGTGTTTTTCTATATATGTACGTGTGTATGTTAAGATCTGTGCTTTTCTCACTGGCGAGATATCCGAGCAATAATGAATGCCTCGTATTCAATACATGCTATGTATATATACTATGTACAGGTATTATTTATCACGCGGAATGCGTTTTCTACTTTTGCGGTCGATCATCTCAAGAATGAGGTGACCGATTCCTCTTCTACCGCTTCTCGATTAAATGTGCCAACCACAGAACAGATCAAATACTTATCATATGCTGCTTAGAAATTCGTGTTTTTCCATGTATCAAGGAAAAAATATTTCTCGAAAAAAAAACTTACATTATAAGCATTTTCTTCTTATCTTTCTTTTTTAAAATAAATAACTTTTATATTTTTTTATTTGAATTTTTATGAGA